ATTTTTTTTATGATTTTGATTTAAATAAAATAATATATAAAACTTATAATATCATATAATTTAAAATAAATTTTTTTTATATTTAAATATTTATAAGTTAATTTAAATTTGACTCAAAACTTGATTTGAATTTGATTTAACTCAAATAAATTCAAGTTAAAATCAAGTCAAATTAAATTTGAGTTAGTCAAATTGAGTTGAGTTTAAAATTTATATAACTCAAATCAAGTCAAGTTGAAAGATTTTATAAATAAATTTGACTCAATTCAACTTGAATAAAATGAGTTAAATAGAGTTGATCTTTAAACTTGACTCAACTTGACTTATTTAAAATTCTAAATAAGATCTTAATTTTAGTCAAAAAAATTCTCAGAGTTTGATTTTCTTAGCAAACTTTTCATATAAATAATTCTTATCTATAATATTAATTAGTAATATTTTTTTTTGATTATATATTTAAATAATATAAATAATAAAAGATTTAAGTTAAAATTAATAAATATTGAATAATAATATATCCTTTAATAAAGATAAATAAATAAAAATTTATAATTTATAATTAATTAAGAGTATAAAAAAAAAAAAAATAAAATAAAATTTTTGATATAAATTTTCTATAATAAATTCTATTATTTTTTTTTTTTTTTATCTATATTTGAATAAATTAATTATTTTATAATTAAAAAATTTTTAATATTAAAATTTAATTATCAAATTAGGTAAATTTTTTGTAAATACTTAATTTTAAGATTAAAATTATTTTATATATAATATGAATTTTTTAAAATAATTTGAATAAAATAAACTATTAATAATCATTATAAAATACATAATAACTTCAATCGATCAATTTTATATGCAACTATGTTGTGAAAGTCAAAAGTTAATAGTATATACTTTTTTATATATGTGTAACTATACTTACTACATGTGTAATAATAATTATCATGTCAAAATACGTTGAGGTGCATACATTAATCCCACTACGTAATGTTCTTCCTATGGTCACCATTAGATGTAGTGTTTTCAGGTGAAAACATTTTCTTAAATTCGAAATGTCCGTAACTATTACTAATTCTCCTAAACATTAATTATATCGATAAATTACAAACCCTTTACGTCTTTACGTTAAAGTTAAAATTTGAAATTTAAAATATATAACTTTTAATTATTGAAGGAGTTAACGGTTACATTAATTAAACAAAAGAAACCAATAATAGGGAGGTATAACCATTTGCTACAAAGGGAGGAGAAAGAATTAATTAATGAAACACATCAAGAAAGTGCCACGATGATGGCTAAATGCAACAAAATTTGGTGATAAAGATCATTGAATCGCGACGAATTTGTATCTACGATATGCAGGCACGTGATTTCTATCACAAGGCCGGACTTAAAGAAACTTTAAATTTAAATTGTTTCAGAAGAAAACAAACAAGATAAATACCCAATAACAAACGCCGAATCACACCTCATTATTTTCATGAGGGATTAACATTTTACTGTAATAGGATTGTTAATATGATAATATGATTGGTTCGTCAAATAACTAATTTATTTGTATTTGTTTGTCGATCATTCATCAATACTTAAAAATGTTCTCACGCCTTTTTTTTTTTATCTGCATGAACTAAATTATTGTTGTTTTATAAATTGATGAACGCGTGATAAATTATAAGTAGTTACATCCGAGTCTTTGTAATTGAATAAGCTTAAAGTATCGATCATAAAAAAATATTCAATTCTTCGATTGATGTTTTCACTCTCAGAGACACTTTCGATTATGGGACGTTTAATTGTCGATCTCAACATTTTTTTTTTAAGAAAAAATAGAGATAAGAAAACTTTAAGGAATCGTAGATATGGAGGTATGTCCTTCCGAAACTATATTGATCAAAAGGTCATTTCCACATTAGATAAAAAATAATGCACCAATTGAAATTCAATTCAATAAACTCAACAGAGTCGATAAGAAATTGACCGAAATTAAATCCTAAACATTACCTGTAAACGATGGTTGTGCAAGATAATTTAATTCCAAAAGAGGTTTATATATAGTAATATAAAAAATTGCGAGATTAGAATTCGTTAAATGAAATTAATAATTGCAGATACATAATATATCGGGTAAAATAATGAATTTTTGTCAGATATATAAAGACGAATTTAATAAGATTCTAAGAGAGAAAAAAAATAATAAACGCCAAAATGTCAATGATAGCTGACTCCCTCCTGCTATCCGCCACATCTTTTACGAGTATAATAATCCTCATTATACAAAAATATAAAATTAATTCTTCTATTGAACCTGATGTTAGCTTTTCAACTGCAGGAAAAGATTACATTAAACTTGTACTTGCATTATTTCAAGTAGCCTTATTTTTGTTTTTGTTTTTCGTGAGAGTATTTCATGTTAAGGATCACCTAGAAGTGAAGGATGCATTTCATGCCGGGTTACTTGCGTTATGCTGGGTATGGTATAATGATTTGATTGTTCATTCCGTGTAAAATGTATTAATAAATTATCATAATTTAGATTTATTGTATGATGATGTGCTTATCGATCTGTTTGATTCGCGCAAGGAATTGGAAATGGATCTTGAATGCACACGTGACATTGCTCTGTGCGACCGCATCTCTGGCTGCAACGTGGCAACTGCGAACCGCTTTAGTATTTCATCACGACACGACAAGGGAATTGATCATCGCAATTATAAATCTCGTGACCTCCACAATACTTGCCGCCGTAACGATAACAACGCCCAAAGGTCCTCCTACGTATAATAAGGAAGGTCGTCCGATCTCATCAATCAGTCATTGTTCAATTTTGGAGTTTATCACATTTAATATAACCATCCCACTCATTCGTAAAACATTAAAGACAAACACACTTTACGATTCGGATTTGGATGAATTGCCCAATGAATATCTCGCACACGAATCATTTAATAAAATTAAAAGATGGCGTAATAATAAATTATTATATAGGATATGGAAAGCTAATCAAACGATCGTTTTATTAGAAACCTTTTACACAATCGTCTCGTCAGTTTTGCGTTATGTGCCGATCTTATTCTTGTATAGTTTGTTGGATTTTATTCAAGAGAATGAATTCGAAAATTACGAGTGGGCCATCTTTTGCATCTTTGGAATCTTAATCGGTGGATTATTATACGTATTTGCAATATCCCAACATAATTATTGGGGTTGTGCCGTGTTGCAAGTGAATATAAGTTCCATGTTAAATTCGGAAATTTACTCAAAGAGTTTAACCATTAAAAGTAACATTAACGAGATAGGTAAAGTGAGCAATTTGATGGCGGTCGATGTTAATAGGGTGGCTCAATTTGCAATATGGTGGGCTTCCATGCTCGAGGGCCCGATTCAAATCGTGGTTGGGTTATTTTTCTTGTATAAATTATTGGAAAGTGCCTGTTTGATTGGAATTCTCGTCTTGGTGGTAATCTTGCCCATTCAAAGATGGTCCGGTCACTACTTTTCTATGAATCAAGAACGTCTTATGAAAGCTAGAGATTACAGGGTATCCCTAATGAATGAAGTCTTGCAAGGTATTCGTATGATTAAATTCAATGCGTGGGAAGATAATTGGATGAGGAGAAACTTGGATGCACGAAATATCGAATTGAAATTCCTAAAGAAAAACTTTGTGATGATGACCATATTCAACATACTGTGGATGGCTTCCCCGATATTGATCACGGTCGCTAGTTTCTTAGCGTACACGAAAATCCTGGGAAACGAATTAACGGCTTCCGTTACGTTTACTTCCGCCGTCATATTCAATGAAATTCGATTTATATTAAATGATTTGGCCGAATTATTCATGTTAGGTTTGCAAGCTTTGGTTAGTTTACGTAGAATCGAAGTTTTCTTAACTACCGAAAATAAGACCCAACGTGATAAGAACGTGATTTTTGCGTGTGAAAATAAAATGGGGTTTGAGAATGCCACTATAACTTGGTATAAAACTGAAAAGAATATCAATGAAAATTTCATAATGAAGGATTTAAGTATCGAATTCCCGGTAGAAAAATTGAGTATTATATGTAAGCATTGACATTCATTATGTTACATTTGATCTTTTAATTTATAATTTTATGATATTTACATATATTTTCAATTTAGTTGGTCCAACTGGATCAGGAAAGGTAAAAATTTTATTATTTTTTTTTTTTTTTTTTTTTTAAAAATAAAAAAAAAAAAAACTAAATTTACTTGTTATCATATTCAGACATTATTATTATTGACATTGCTCGGAGGTAATGTATTAAAACAACTGAAAAGCTGAACTATAACGATAATTCTCTAGCGGCTCTTTCTCTTTTTTTTCTCATTTTTCTTTAGAAGCGGAAATTCAATCGGGCAGTGTGTTTTGCCCACAAAATCAAAGATCGGATGATCCTGATTGGATGATGGACGATAGCATCGCTTATGTGGCGCAGTATACGTGGCTGCCCAATTGCTCAATACGGGATAGTATTTTATTCAATCTACCTTTTAACGAAGAAAGATACAATCAAGTAGTGAAATCATGTGCGTTAGATAAGGATTTTGAGAGTTTCGTGGATGGCGATCTAACTGAGATTGGCGAACAAGGCGTAACTCTTTCCGGAGGTCAAAAACAAAGGATCGCTTTGGCAAGGTAATGTTAAAATCACATGAATTTTAAGTAAAGAAAAGTACATGCTAACGTTTTTTTTTTTTTTAATGTAGAGCCGTTTATTCGAGAGCGAAACATATTTTGATCGATGACGTATTGAGTGCCGTAGATGCGAATACTGCGAAACACTTGATTGACGAATGCCTTTCTGGTCCATTAATGAATAAAAGAACAAGGATTCTTGTCACTCATCATTTAAGCTTGGCTTTAACCAATGCGAGTTATATGGTGAGTTATCTATTTTACATTATTTTACATTATCATTTGTTCGTTCATGTAATTGATATTCTTTGTTATTAGGTTGCGATAAATAATGGACAAGTCGCTGTTAAAGGAGAAGTATCGGAATTATATGATTCCGGTTCAATATTTCAATTCTTAAAGCGTAAACCTGAGGAAGATGTGAGTAAAAAGATTATTGTATCGGAAACCAATCGAATCGAAAATTCTATCGGTACTTTATTACAAGTTCCTTCGGAAGAAACCTCTGTAATAATTAAAGAAGATTTAACCGATGAGAAGATCATTGATAAAAGTCCAAATAACGAACTTAATAAGCCTAGAGTACTCATACAAGAAGAAGGTGATTGATAATCAAAAACATCTACAATCTTTTTTCTTTTCACACTAAAACTTTTAAAAATGTTTTTATATAGGTAAAGAATCTGGGAAGGTGAAATTGGGAGTCTATCTAAAATATTTGAAATCAAGTGGAAATTATTTATTCTGGATAATGGCTTTGATATTATTTATAAGTACAAGAACGGCCCAAATTTTGGAAGGGTGGTGGTTAAATGAATGGTCGAATTTAAATACGACCTTAAATAAGGATTTTAATATTGATTTTTACATAAAGATTTATATAATAATAATCATTTTTTCGATGTTTTTCGGTGTCGTTCAGTTCTCTTTTCTATATTATGGCTCATTACGAGCCTCGAAAAAGTTGTATCATCAATTATTGGCGACAGTTATTAAAGCTCCATTAAGATTTTTTGATACTACCCCGATCGGAAGAATCTTAAATAGATTTAGTAAAGATTTTGAAATCATTGATAGTAGTTTAGCGGGTAATTTTTTATTTTATTTTTATCTTTTGACATATAATTAGATGTTATATAGTAATTCTTTTTTTTTCGAATCAGTTGATTTGGGATTATTTCTTCATAATGTAAGTTGTTAGCTTGTGAATTTTACTTAACGAATTTAATTTTTAATTATTTTTTACAAACAGTTGCTAATGATTATCGGCGTTATAATCGTAATAATCACAATCACCAAAGGTAAAATTTAATAATGAGAATATAAATTTTTCCAAAACATTTAATTAATGATCCTTATCGTCGTCATTTTAATTTTTTTTTTTTTTAGAATTTGCGATAGCAGCGATTGCATTTGGCATAATTTACGTAATAATTGGCGCATTATACGCCAAAATATCAAGAGAATTGAAACGATTGGATTCGATAACAAAATCTCCATTGTACTCTCATTACACAGAAACATTAATGTAAGTGCAAAAAAATTAATTCTAAAATTTAAATGTATTCGAAAAACTAACGATAATTATTTAATCGATGCTATCGAAATAATCTAGTGGAATAACGACGATAAGGGCGTTTAAGGTTACGGAGCAATTCATGAACGAAATGTTGAAAAGGTTTATATATATATGATAATGTCAAATATTTTTCATTTTTAATGAAACCTTGTTAAACATACAATTTTTATTAATATAATAGGATAGATAATAATATTCGACCCTTTTATTTCCTTTGGGTAGCGAATCGCTGGCTACAGATATGGACAAATGGCATAGGAGCGTTTTTCCCCTTTGTCACTGGGTTATTAATTCTTTTGAATTTAGGAAAAATCAATGCCAGTTTAGCAGGGTTATCATTATCATTTGCGATGACCTTTACATCGCAAATCATGTGGTCGATACGGAAATATACTCAATTAGAGATGAGTTTAAATTCCGTTGAAAGGATAATAGAATCTTTGCGCATTCGACAAGAGAATTACCAAGGAGAAATTGGCAACGAAACGTTGAAGGAAAAGAATTGGCCTATAGATGGAAACATCAAATTCGAAGGGTTAAAAGTAAAATACGCCGAAGATTTAGAACCCGTGTTGCACAACATCTCTTTTGAGATTAAAGGGAAAGAAAAAGTTGGAATAGTTGGAAGGTATTTATTTAGTAAAAAAAAAAAAAAAAAAAAGTCAAAAAGTAATCGAAATTAAAATTAATTTGTTATTCGTTAGAACTGGATCCGGAAAATCAACGATGTCATTATCGCTATTCAGATTTTTAGAAGCTACGGAGGGAAGGATACTCATTGATGATATTGATATTAGTAAATTAAGTCTTAAGGATTTAAGATCCAATCTTACGATCATACCTCAAGATCCGATACTGTTCACTGGTAAGTACGATTAATTTATTAACGAAATTCCATTATACATTCAAGCCAATCGATGTTTATTATTATTTTAGGTTCAATAAGATCAAATCTTGATGTGTTTTCACAGCACACGGATTATGAAATTTTCGAATCTCTAAAAAGGGTCAACTTTTTACCCTCATCATCAGAACCTACAAACAATTTTACGAGAGAATCCGGAAATATCTTTTATAATTTAGATACCCAGATTAACGAAGGAGGTAATAATTTAAGTCAAGGACAACGTCAACTATTATGTCTTGCAAGAGCCTTGTTAAAGAAATCTAAAATCATAATCATGGATGAAGCTACTGCTAGGTAACGAATAAATAAAAATTTATTTATTTGTGCTCTTTACGGAAATTTACCTAACCATTTTCTTTATAATTGTTTATAGCATTGATTTTGATATGGATGAAAAAATTCAGAAAATGATTAGAACCGAATTTAATGATTGTACGATCATTTGTATTGCGCATAGGTTACGAACAATAATGGATTATGATAAGATATTGGTTTTAGGTAAGTGCTTTTAAATCTTAATTTTCCATAAAATCATAATTAATTCATCATTTTATTTATCTTCTAGACCAAGGAAACGTGCTTGAATATGACAGGTACTTTTTTCTTTTCACTTTGTTTTAAAACCCTCTCTTTAAAAAAAACTAATAATTTTTTTACCTTTTTTTTTTTTTTTTTTTTTTTTACAATTGTAGCCCATCTAATTTGTTCTCGAACCCTAATTCAAATTTTTATCAATTGTGTAAAAAATCGGAAGATTTTAATTTAAAATGATAATAGACTGTTATTGTTATTAGAATTGTTATTAGAATATATATTAATTACTGTATACCATAAATGAAAAATAAATAAAAAAAATACAATTACTGATTAAGGCTATTAAAATCGAGTCACGAGGAGTTACATAATTGTACTTTACCGAACTTACGTAAATTACATAATTTTTAAAGTTTAAGTACCACCGCATCTTGTGCTATTATTTAACCGCAAAAAAAGTTTTACAGCTTCAAAGTCTATTTTGGTGATCCGGGAGCGGTTATTACCATACACCCCTCCTTTTAAGAGCTCGCCAAGGTTTATTAATGTTCTGGACTGACTTCTATAATTGATAAATTGTGCAAAGTGGTTATGGCCGAACCCAAATAAACGAATCAATGAATTTATGAATTTCTATTCCCATAATGTCGATTATTACCGAAATTTTTGTGCCCGAGTTAAGGAGTACCGAAATATTTTGTATAAGCATACAAAACAATGTTGTGGCGCGTGATAATCACACACTTCTTTTCTTTTTATGTCAACATCCTTTTATGTTCCCTGATTTCAGAGGACAATCCATCTTTTATCTTTCTAAATCGAACACGCGTTTATATAAATAAGCTGTTTAAGAATTCAACTAAAAAAAAACTAATTTCTTCTAATTTAGCACCATGGAAAGGTACTGTTTATCTATATATGAATTTTCCGTTAAAATTGGAATCCTTTAAAAACTTTTTTTTTTATTTTATTCCAGAGGGATAAAGGACCCCATTAATGATGATGTAATAGAAAAACTGGAAACGGAAACAACAACAAGCACAAAAATCGTGACTGAAATTGGCAACGTTAAAGATGATAACATGACAGACAATGAAACTAAATTAATAACCGAAACAACTACTACAACGACTACAGCAACTGCAACAGCAACGACAGAATCCGGTAAATCATGGTACACGCAAATCATTGGAAAATTTGAAAAAGTAATTTATGAACGTCTTCCAGAAACTTTAAAATATAATCAAAAGGTTGTTGATGCACTTGATGTCTTGAAAGAGAATATATCAAAAAAAGTTAATGATAGTTCCGTCCATCCGGAAATCGAATGGGATGCAGAAGTTAGATGTTCTAATGAACTATGTGATGATGAAATAACTTTCTTGAAAGAAAGGAAAGAGTATATAAAAGAAAGTTTTGCTAAATATATTGGAGTTGATGTTGAGGAAATTCATGTTGATGATATCCCTGTAATTGCGTTTGCCGGAAGTGGTGGAGGATTTAGAGCTATGCTCGCCACCACTGGTAAATCTTAATTTTTTTTTTAAATTTTTTTAATTTTTCTTTTTTGCAAAGAAAATTTAAATTTATCATGTTTAAAAATTATTTATCCAGCTTATATGAGAGCTGTGCATGACTCCGGTTTATATGACTGTGGTGTTTATTACAGCGGTGAGTTCTTGATAATTAAATGTGTTAAGTTTACGTTCATCTCATTAAACAATTCCATTTTATATTTTCCTTAAGGATTGAGTGGAAGTTGTTGGAACCTGGCGACGCAGTATTCTTCATTATGCGCTACAAGAGAAAATCCAATTCAAGCTGTATTTGAATTTTTCAAGAAAAATTTAACACATCACATAGCTAATCCAATAGGAGTTTTGAAAGCTTTATCAAAAAATTCATCACCAGAAACGGCGGTTGAATTAGTATTTGGTGGATTGGTTCAAAAAGAAACAATGGATTTGCCATTACGTGTAATAGATGTATATGGATCTTTATTAGCTGCTAGACTTTTAATCGGAACTGATCCAGAATCCCAACATCAGGATTTCAAACTAAGTCAACAAAAACGATTTTTGGAGGGTGGCAAACAAATGATGCCTATATATACCGCGTACGTATTTAAGGATTTTGGAATTTCTTCTTTTTGAAGCAATAGTTTTTTTTTTTTTTTTAAAAAAAAAAATTTTTGTAAACGTTAAATTAGTATTTATCACGAACGACCTTGGAAAGATGAATTGGATAAAGAGCATGCTGAATATGTGGAAAATTATGAGCAAGCATGGGCTGAGCATTCCAAGAAAAAGGATCATTTGGCTTGGTATGAATTTACCCCATTTGAAATTGGTTGTGATGAACAAGCTGGTAAGTGCAAGCAGCTTTTATTTAAGCTAACATAAATAATAAGAATTTTACCATTTTACAATTCATTTATTTATTTATTGTATAGCATGGGTACCTACATGGGCTTTTGGACGTAAATTTGAATTAGGAAAGAATCTTACACGTATACCAGAACAAAATATTGGTCAGTTAATCGGGTAAGTAAATAACATTTTGATTCATATCAAATAAATTGAATTTATTTATTCATACTATATTATTTTATATATATATATATATATAGAATAATGGGCGCAGCTCCATGTGCTCCCATTTATATCGATATTCGACAATTTGAGCACTTTTTACCTGAAGGCTGGTTAAAGGCAAAATGGAAACGATTGTATGATGGGGTATGTGTCGCAAGAAAGATTCTTAATGTTATACGTGTAATACATCTAAATCGTTTCTCCCTTTTCGTTTTTAAAGGCTATGGAAGATATTGAAGAACAGGAAAGATGGAAATTTGAAGGACATCATTTAATTCCGACGGCATCTAATTATAATTATATTTATCATTTAAATCCGCCGCCAAGTAAACTTGGATTGACAAATAATCCAATTTTAGAATTAATCGATGCCGGAGCAGCTAATGACCTGCCCTTATATCCATTGGTTCACCCAAGTAGAAAAGTGGATATTATCATAGGTTTTGATAGTTCAAGTCAAATTATTAAACATGAATATTTTGAACAAGAGCAATTACTTTTTACATCACGAAAAGGAATAACAAAGGTAGCTCGTGATGTGGAAAATAAATACTGTGAAATTTATGATTATATCCCAACCGGATCGAGTGATGGATATACAACACCGGCTGCTCATCCTTGTACATTTTGTTATTTACCTTATTTACCTAATGATAAGGTCGATAAAAATTTCGTACCTAGTACCGCTAAATTCGCTTCTTTTGCTAATTTTACTTATACTCCTGAACAAATTGATTTGATGGCGAGTTTGGCGAAACAAAATTGGCTAGAAGTTGAAGAAAAAGTTAAAGGCGTCATTATTGATGCTTGGAAGAAGAAGAGGGATGCAAGATTAGGATGATGTATGAAATATAATTTGTACAATATTACACTTTTTATTATAATTACCATAATTACGTATTTATCATAGTCATTTAATTTTACAAGATCAATATTTATTTTTAAATCAAAATAAATCGAGAATTTACACAAAGTTTCTAATTACGGTTCACAAACATGTCTACTGCATTAAAAAAAAAAAAAAAAAATAATGTCATAAATTACATGGCGCATTTTCTTGATCATAATTCTGATAGTACAATCATGGTGTCTCCGGAAAAAAATTCGAAATTACATTTTAATTGGCTTGAGAACAATATTGTTTCTTTGTATTTGAATTGTTATTGAAGCAATTTGACAGAAGTATATTTTCATTCGTTAGGTACATAATTCGTTAAAAAAAAAAAAAAAAAAAAAAAAAAACGAAATGAAATATTCTTAAAAGCAGCAATAAAACGAATCATTTAATTGACCAGATGCTAAAATGTATGCATCTATAAAATCAAAAATTTTTTTTATTTTTCAAGTTTGCTACAGTGCAGAACCTCTATAATAGGAACTTTGCTATAGTAAAAATGGAACAAATTTAAAATGCAAAAAAAAATTTTATTATATATAAAATTGAAGATTTAATTCATAAAATAAATAAATCATGACCTGTGCTTTAAGAATCTTGGATTAGATTTCAATATCTTCAATATTGATAAAATTATACCACGTTAAATTTATTCAAAATTAATTATAAAAACTGAAATTGAAAAAAATATGTAATGACAAATTTATAAGAATGATTCTTTTATCATTTATATATTTTAACTTAAATATTATTATAAATTGAATTATATAAAGATATACTGTATTAGGGTATAGCAAAAGAAATACACAAGAATATTATAATTACACATAGGTTGGATTATAAGAAATTTTTTCTAAAGCATTAAATTAAGTTCCTTTAATTACAATCCAAAAATATGCACAAAAATCATGGTGATATATAAATATTTATAGAAAAGGTAATACTAGAAAAATGGTAGAGTTGCAACTAAAAAATATAAGTTTTATCATCATGTATCTATTTATAATAAAATAATAAAATAAAATAAAATAAATTATTTCATATGATTTTTAATTCTAGTTTCTAATTGGCTTATATATATGTTATACAATGCTTACATAATTTACAAAATTGAAAAAAAAACTTTTTTTTATATATTGATTCATTTTTACAAATTTAAATCATTTTTTTTTTATTTGATTAAAATCCAATCAGTGAATTAAATTTTATAAATATTTTTTAAGTTCTTATTATAAAAGTTTCACACTGTATTTAATAGAGCTGCAACCTATCAGAATTTTAGTATCTGATTTATATCTAAATTAAAAAATGTTATCTGATTTCTTAATGAGTATTACCTGTTTATACCCATTTACCCTTTTACGATATATAACATCTAGATAGATCCAGATATAAAGTGATATTTTATATGATTTTAAACAATTTATTTATTTATAAAAAATATATTATAATAAAATAAAGCTATCTAATAAATATTATTTGTTGTTACTATTTTGCTAAATGTGTAATATATCTCAAATTTTCAATAACCTAATTAAGTAATTTGATAAATTAGTAAAGTTCATTGAAATAAAAATTAATTCCTATTATCTGAAGAGTAAATATTGATCACCTTTTATTTTATCATAAGAAAAGAATTTTTCAATGTACTTGGTTCTATATTCTCTCTTTTATTAATTATATGATTACCTGTATCTGAAAATAATCTTTCACTTGATATAGAAGTTATAGATATTTTTGTGCAAGTTAAGTGATCACCAGAAATTTTATATAATAATTTCTCTACTATTTAAATAAATAACTTTGCATTAAGCATATATATTTTTATTATCATTAACAATATTAAAATAATTTTAAATCTAACTATATTGTGACTTAATAATCTTAGCTTATTTTACGAATAATTGATCAGCATTTTACTTTTATACGTATAGCAGCTAAAATACTTTTTGCTATATTAATATTAAGGTCAAACTCATTATTAATAATCTGTTTTCATTTTTTTTAAGATTTGATATTGCAAACAATAATCAAATATAAAAACTAGATTTTTTAAAGAAAAATGAGAAAAAGGGAGAAAATATATTGAAATATATATGATAAATAAAGAAAATAAAAATAAATATTATCTTTTTAATTTATTTATTTATTATTTTAATTATCAATTACCTGTGTCAGTATCTGGATAATATTTGAATTCATCAAATAATTATAAAATAATACAAAATGACTATTATTCGTTTTTACCTATTTTTAATTTATAATTTAGATATTCATAAATATCTGAATTATATTTGAGTAAATAAGTAACTGGTTGCAGTTCTACTATTTAGTATCAGTAATAATATTTAACAATATATAACTGTGTAGCATATATATTAGGTAGTATTATATAATTGTATTATATTTATTAAATGAACAATATATTATGTATTTACAGTTTTCGTCGAAAGTAATGGCGGTAAGAATATTAAATAATATTTTGATCACAATTTCTCTAGTGTTCTGATTTAACATATTATTAATTAAGATGACTTAGACAATATGATGTTTTTAATAAAATAAACAAAAAATCTGATCTTAAATGTTATTTATTTATTTTAAACTTAACCTAAATTACCATTATACTAAATATTATCGATATCTATTAAAGCAAATTACAAAGTCATAAAATATCTTTGAAATAAAAATATTTATAATGCAAAGGAAATTTCTAACTAAACTGAAGTTCCTTTATGTTCTTGTAAAAGATATGCTGCCATTTTACGAAAAAATGGCAATATTCTAGAAATTCATCAATTTGGCCGCCTACAAAAATTACCCCTTGCAAAATGTCAGCACGTTAGAATGATTATTAAGCATGATCATTTCACTACAGTTAGGAAACTGAAGGCTATGTTAGAAGAAAATGATTCAGAATTAGAAATTGATAAAACAACTATCTGTCAAAAACTTTCTAGGCTCAGTTATATAGCAGTTCTTTTATGAAAAGTTCCTCTTTTGACCTAAAAAGTAAAAGACATTCGCTTATCTTGGGCATAAGACCATTTGCAATACAATTGAAAAAGGGTAGTTTTTTTGATGAAACAATAATCTAAATGTTTTATAACACAACCCTTGCATGGTCTCGTAATGAAAAACTAGTTCAACCTATAGTTAAGTACCTTTTAAAGTGTATGTTTGAGTTGCAATCAATGTTAAAAGAAGAATCAGCATGCACATGTTTACTAAAAATCTTGATTATTATTTGTATCGCTGAATTCTTAATGATCAGCTCTATAATAATGCAAATGAATTATTGGGTCATCAATGAATTTTTTAGCAAGATAATGACCTAAAACACAAATCTCATAATATTTAAAGAGACTTGAAAACTCACCTTCTGAGTTTAATTCTTTTATGACTATCTTATAGTCTAAATCTTAATCTGATTGAAAATGTTTGGGCTATTTTAAAAAGAAAAGTTGAGATAAAGATTAAGAAAATAGTGATGCAGAAAAAAAAATATCAATTGAAATTTTTTATAATATAATTTAAGAAGAATGGGATGATTTTGATAATAATATAATAGTTAACTGCATTAATAGTATGCTAAATCGAATTATAGTATGCATTGATGCAAAAGGAGTACATACTAAATACTAATTAATTAATAAAAGTTGCAACTATGATATTTATATTTTATTTAAAAAAATTTTAATTAGGTTTATTAATAAATCGTATGTATTAAGTTATAAAAATTGACTACCATTACTTTTAGCGGGGACTGTAGTAATATTTAATTAAAATATTAATACATATTATAGTTTAAATACTAAATTAATTATTTTTTTTATCTAATTTATATTTTGAATATTCATAAATATTACACCTCTTACTAAAATAATAACTGAATATTTTAGATGAAAAAGTAGATTAACTAATCCTATTTTTTATTAAAGATTTATATCATTTTGAAGGTTTACTTTTGGCCTATAATATTCTAAATTAATTATTTTAATAATATTTAAATTATCTAAAAGTTATCTGATAATTAATTCATAAATCTCTTCTATTTTTAATCTAATATTATACTAATATTTCATTATAAACTATATAAGAGAATAAATTCTGCTATAATATTTTTGATATTGTGATTTGAATACTAATTTTTGCTATTAATATTGTAGTATCAAATTTAATTTTTTATTAATAGTTTCACTAATAACTAATATATAAACATTAGTAGTTCTAATATATAATTTATTATTTATTAGATAGTATTATTTTAAATTAACGTGTATAAATAAATTTTAAACAGAAAATTGCTTTAGCAGATTGAAGTAAACATAATACTGATCAATATAACATTCACTGATTAATAATAGATATATATATTATTAATAGAACAATTAACCAATAATAATAAAATCACATAGATGAAGTAATACAATGATTTTTTGATTTAAAATTCTAAAAATATGGTAGATCTATATAATTCTACATATTGATAATAATTTTAATTTTGCAAATTAAATGAAGTTTAAAAATATTTAATATTATATTATTTTTATTATATTATACAGTAGCAGTTAAAAGTATTATATCACTTGAATGCAAATCTTAAAATTGCAATTTTTTAAAATTAAGAAATCATAGTATTATAAAACTTATTTAAAAAGTTCATCATATCCTTTTTTAAGAAAACAAAATTTTTTTTTGCAAAATGTAAAAATATTCAAATTGAGTAATACATTTATTATGATTGATTTTATAAAAATAAATACTTTCATATTGTATGTGATTATTTTTATTTAAAATAATTATGAATACATATAAAAAGGATGTCTTTATGTATCTTTTTTTAAAAAAAATATTGATGAATTATTTATCTATTAAAAAAAGGTCAAGTATTTGTATTTTATTTGAAGAAGAATATCCTTCTCATTATATTGCATCCAAAAAAAAATATTTCTCAATCAACTGTTATAAGAATTAAGCAAAAAAAAGATAAGAATGGTACTTTTAAAAATTAACTAAAGTTTAAACATCTGCAATATCTAACAGATCAAAATGAGCAAAATGTTTTGTAACTTATTTCATTAGAAAAATATACAAATGCAGTTTGAATTCAAAAAAAGTTAAAAGTTAAAAAATAAATTAAAGTTATTGAAAATACAGTAAAGTAAACCTTATGATAAAATGGATTAAACTCAAAAATCAAGTATAAAATCTTATCTTCAAAAAATGAATAGAATTACTCATATGAAATTTGCAAAAAAATATTGATCATGAATAGCAAAGGATTGAAATAAATTATTTGGTTAGATAAATCAAAATTTATAATTTTAATATATTACACTTAATCACAATTTCTAATTGACTATATTATGTGATAATATATATATAGTTTGTAATAAGATAAAAGTATTCTTTACTTATACTTTAAATAATAAATATTATAAAATAAATAAATATAATAAATAATAAAATAAAAATAAATAATATATAAAATATATATAAATAAAATAAACATATTAATTATGTTAAAGAAGTTAAAAATATTAATAATATTAATTTTGTAAAATTAACTTTATTAAATATCATTGAATAATATTTTTTAAAGTTATTTAAATATTATGAAATATAGTTTAGAATACTATTCATATTAGAAAATCTAATTTTAATTGTATAACAAATATATTTATTTAGATTTTAATAATATAAATAATAAAAAAAAATAATAATACTATGACAAAAAAAAAAGAATTTAGTATTTTTTATTATTATTTTTTTATTAAAAATTATAAAAATTATATATTTTAAGATTTAGAATTATTTAAAAATTAATTAATTACTTTATTAAATATTAAAATTTTGAAAATTATTATACATCATTATTAGTTAATACCAGTGTCACATGATTTCTGTTTAAATAATTTATTACCTTATGTCATACCTTTCATATTTTTCATATTTTATTTTTACTATATATTCTAGAGACAGAATTTTTTTTGAGTGTAAAATCATATTCATCACATATTATTTGTTATCTATAATTTCAGCTAAAATTTATAATTCTGGCTAAAATGTCTTTTTAGAATATTAAGTGACATTATATAAATCCAAAGAAAAAACAATTTTGATTTTAGCAAAAATTTAAATATGATTATATAATCTTTCTAAAAAGTAAATTAGTGTGATCATCAGTAGTAATAAATAGTAAACTCCTAAATTCTATTATATTTTTTTACTAAATAAATATTATTGAACTTATAATATTTAATTATTTACAGTATATTAAACTTCTAATTTTTTGTTATTCATTTTTATAAAATTATAAAGCAAATATTATATAATAAACAAAAAAATTTTTTATAAAAACATACTTATCAAATATAAAATTAATTAAAATTAAAATATAATTATAATCAAAATAATACATTTTTTTATTTATTTATAAAAATCTTTTTTTTATTGATTATTATTTTTTATATTTTATTATATAAATATATATTTTAAAAATAAATCTCAATTATAATTTTAATTATATTATTAAAAAAATAAAATATAATTTAATTATTATTTATTTTAAAAAGAAATTATTATATAAATTTAATATTTAAATAATCAAAAAATGATTTTAAAATTTAAATTATCTGTATTTTCTAAAAAAAAAAAAAAAAAAAAAAAAAAAAATTTATTAGTAAATTATTACTTTATATAAATAAAAAAGTATTTTGTTAAAATAAATAATTGAAAAATATTTTAAATTATATAATTTGATGTTATTATGTAAAAATTAAATATTAATAATTAAAATAATAAAGTAATATAAAATTATTATTATTAATATATCTTTTCTTTTTCAAGTATTTTATATATTAAATTTTATATAAATATAATTATAGTAAATTTATTTAAGAAATTTAAATCAAGTATTGAATAATTTAATTTTGATTTATAGTATAAAATATTAATTAAGATAATATTTTTATTAAAAATCATTTTATTTTTTAAAGTTTATTTTTTTAATTTTTTTCAATTTATTTTTTTTATTTATATTTTTATATTTTTTATATTAAAATATTTTATTCTTTTATTTTTTTTCTATATATTATTTTTATATTATTTTTTAAATTATTTCTTTATATTTTTTTTTTTATTTTTTCAAACTTTTTATTCAATATTTTTATTTATTTTTTTAAAGTTTATTAATTCTTTAATTATAATTTTTATTATTCATTAATTTTATATTTTTAAATATTTTATAATATTTTTTTTTGTAATTTATCTTTTTTAAAATTTTATTTTGTATAGAAATAGAAATATAAATTTATTAATAAAAAAATTACATTTTATTTTTAAGTTAATATTATTATTAAATTCTTTTAAATTATATTATTTTAATTTTTTTTTAATTTTATCTATTTTTATATTTGTTTAATTATTTTTCTTATTCTAATTCTCTATCTTAAATTTTTTTATTTTACAAATTTTACTTTTTAGTAACTTATTATATATTATACAAGTATTTAATATTTCTATTTTTTCAATATTTTATTTGAGTTATAATATAATATTTTTGTATATTTGTATAATATAATTCTCTTTTACTTTAATTTTGTTTTGATAATGATTTTCTTATTATTTATTATTAGTTTATCTATTTTTATTCTATAGTTAATTATTTTATATTCTATAATTTATTCTTTTTTTTATTATAATATAGTTTAAAAAAAAAAAATTTTATGCAAATATGTATAAAATTGCAAAAATTGTATATAATAAAATTTATTATATAATTAGTTTAAATTGTTATATAAATGATTTTACTTTTAAAGAATATGCAACTGTAATTGAAGATTTAATTAGAGTTTTTACTAATATTGATATACTTTTAAAAAAGGTTAATGTCTTATTATCATTCTTTAAAAAATATTTATAAGAGAAAAAAGTTATTTTATAAGTTATAATATTAAAACAAATTTATTTACTGCATATTTTTTTATAGCATTATAAAAATTTAATTTCAGTTTTTTAAAAAAAAATCTGTAATAATTATAACAGATAAAATTACAAATATTTTCTTATAAAGATAATATAAAATTGATCTCAATAGATTTTTTAATATAATTTAACAATATAATAATTTAGTCAAAATTGTGTTAATATTATTATAACTTTTCAAATTCCCTTTTTTCAAAAAGTTTTAAAATCTTTAATACTACAACTTATTCATATTCTATGTTGTGTACATATTATAAATTTTATTGGATATAAATTTTAATATAATCTATTATTTATATTTATTATATTATATGGTTTCTATTAATATTATTATTTATTTTAGCGGTACATAGAGAATTTTTTCTCATTTTGAATATATTAAACCTTATTTCAAAAGATTAAAGATTATTTTGCACTAAAGATGACAATCTCAATTAGTTGCAACAAGTGACATATAAGAATCATAATTTTGCAATTAATTGTAATATTATTAAAAATCGACAAAGAAGTATTATGGTATTACAACGCCATCTTTATTTTGCATATTTTCCTACATGAAAAATTGATATTTGGATCATTTGCAATTATATTATCTCGAAAAATTCCTCTTCTAATAAAAAGGTATTGGATACTTAGTTTGAGATGATATTTTATACTTTATTAATTGAAATATACAGTAAAATATGAAGCACGTGAAATTTAATCAGTGAATTTTGTTTGCGGTAATCACTTTGTGAAATTTGATAAAACTTAACTGAATGATGTTTTGTTATTTATTGTATAAGAACAACAACTTTTTAATTTTTGTAATTTTATAATAGATTAATAAAAGCATGCTTCTTTACTTTGTTTGACCATTCCTTCATTATAAATTCTCCCAAATCCCTGATATTTTTTGATGAATAGATCGGTATGATAACTGTATAAAAAAAAATTTCTCAAAGATAGAAATTAAAATGCATAATAAAAGTTCGATGCCGATTTTAGATTATGCGATTTTAATTTTATAGGTAATGTCTAAAGAACTCGTGTTCCAAATACATTTCTCTCATTTGCGATTTTTTTCGTTATCCATTTTAAATGTAGATTTTAGAGACTGAAGAATCGACTTAGAATGAAAGAAAATGTGACGAATTTTCTTGAGGGGTTCACGATTATATTTCTAGAAAACACATCAGCTTTTCACAATATATCCGCTATTTAATTTGAAAATGGGTAGCAAAAATAAGATATTTAGTAAACTTGGATTACAAAAATAGACAGAAAGATTAACTGTAACGCGTTATATTTTTATATGATTAGCGAAGAGTAACTTTGTTTATTAAATAATTACATAATTATATAAATTTTCTTTACATCAATATTCAAAGAACAATCTCGTTAATTAATTTAAGATCACAATATGCTTGCATTTCGCCAGATATAGATTAATCTATAACTGTTTCTCCTGGACACCGCGTAGAGGTGGCAAGCCTTGTTCAGGTTAAAAAAATTTTTTTTTGACAGAATATCAGAACACGTCAATCAATGACCAAGATCATCATATAGTCCAATCAAAAAAATTACCACAGGCAACATGATATGATGTTAATGGTTACGAGGAAAACCAAAAACAGAGTAAGCAATATAAAATGTAGCCCTTTAATCCCAAATTAACTCGGTATAATGATCTCTAAAGCAAATCTTCAAAGATCACTGGTCCATCATTACTCACTTTAAAGAGTTCTTCACAGGAAATTAAAGCTGGATAGACTGGTAACCGGGTATTATAAAGCCACGGGCAAAACGCCCGATAACTCAGTATAATGACCTCCAAGGTTAAACCTCAAAAAAGACCACTGGTCCATCATTACCTGCTTTAACGATTTCTTCACAGGAAAATAAAGCTGGATAGACTGAAACTGGTTATTATAGCCGCAGGCAAAACGCCCGATAACTCGATATAATGACTTTAAGGTTCGACTGGTTAAACTTCAAAGATCACTGGTCCATCATTACTCGCTTTGAAAATTTCTTAACAGGAAATTAAAGCTGGATAGACTGGAAACCGGGCTATAGCCGCAGCCGATAACTCGATATAATGACTTTTACCGTTAAACTGGTTAAACTTCAAAGACCACTGGTCCATCATTACCCGCTTTGACAATTTCTTCACAGAAAAATGAAGCTGGATGGACTGGAAACCGGGTTATTTGGCCATAGGCAAAAACTCCTAATACTCCTCTTTATCTTTGGTGTATCAAAGAAAAGAACTCGGAAAACTTTAGGTAAACCGTCATTTTATATTGTATATAGAAAAATGTTTAGTCTTATACTTGAAAGTAAATAAAAAAAAAAAAAATACAAAAAAAAAAGGAAATAAATAGAAAATATACCTTCGGTGTTGAAACTTTCGGTCCGTGAGAAGTTGAAAGGAGTAAATTTTTTTATTTCATGCAATAAGGGGGTTTTAAATCGTATGTCACGTGATACCGTTCAGGTAAATTCTAATGACTAAATTCATCAATTAAATTAATTTGAAATGAATTATATATCGATATAAGTTTTGTTAATGATTATTTTCCTTATAATTAAACTCTAAGTTAAAAATACCAAGGATGCGATCTTTATTCAGCTGCTTAAAATGACACAATCCTGCTTTGCTCATTTATAACTGAGCCAAATCTTTACTATACAAATTCAAATCGAATAGATAATACGTTGTTTAAAGATATAATAAATCATATGATCCGTAATGTGATTTTGGTATAAAATATGTCAAATCGATAATACAAACATTTAGTTATTTTATACATTAACGTAAAAAAATGTCAATAGAAAGATAATTGGGTATGATAACACGACAACGTAGGTAAATACAATTATTCAATTTATTTATGAACTTTACAAGTATAAATGCATTATAAAATTTATGAAATAAACAAGTAAAATAAATAAAGTTCAAAATTATGAGAGTGGCCAATTAAATTGTTTAAGATAATTCAAATCCAGTATTAGAATGAATGGCTATAAAAAAAAATTAGAATTGAAATGAATTGATGTTTTTTATTCAATTAAATTGATTTTAGAAAAATTATAAAACAAACTTGCCATATTTTAGTTTCTCCTTCATAACAGATTTTTGTGAATATGCTAATATAAAAAAATATATATTATTATTAATCCAATTACTCTTCGTAGAAAGCTTTTACAAATCTTGATAATCTATACTCACACGGTAGCTTTAATAAATTAAAGCTAATAAACCGATTTTATTAGTATACCTGCTTGAAAATAAATATATTTAAGAGAAATGATCAAACTTACCATGTTGAACTCATTGGTAGTCGCTCCTTTGAGGCGGATTTTAAATTTCCAAGAGAAGAAAATAAAGATTTAACTTGTCCCATACTCAATCTTGAACGTGAGGAATTGACATTTTCTACAGGTGAAGCATGATCACTTGAAATCATACGAATCGTAAATTGTGGTTGAAGATATCTATAAAATAAAAATATTTCCGAGAAACATTAATTATATATTTTAACTTATAAAATACTATATTATTGAACCGAAAGCTTACTTAAATCCACCAAGTGGTGGCTAAAAATGTATAAGAAACATGTTATTATAATACACGTGTAAAAAAAACCACTCTTTGCTAAATAAGTTCAAAATGGAGGCTCAAACCTTGGAACAACTCGTAACAAATTTAAGAAATGCGCTTTTATCATTTGAATTCATCTCTTCTAATATAGACCAAAAATGCCGTATACTTCGATGTTGATCGAAGTATCCATTCTGATATAACGTATATTTACGCAGATCAGAAACGTCTAGAAATATTGTTAGTTAGTTTAATTTTAAATGAATAAACGCTAAAAGAATAATTACCCCAATTAACGTCCTCCCCGGAAAGAACGCTGTAATTAAAGATATAATTATATGATAAATATTTACTTAAACTACATTATTAATCAGTTAAATCTACATACCGTTGTAGTTCTGGTGGTGAAAACATCCTTAGCCAATTTTCGGGTATCATAGATTGAAAACTAATCGTAAAGAGCAAATGGTTACTATTAAAATATAATTTGAAATGTCAACAAATGAGTACAAACCCATTAATGAATGCTCTGGTCTGTTCTTTTGCCTGTTTATTCAACTTGTAATCAGCCATGAGATATATGTACTTAATAATAAATAAAGAAAGTTAATATCAATACCCATAATATTATATTAAATAAAATTACAACTTTTAGAACAAACCTGAATCCTATTGTCATTAGTAACAGACAAGTGCGATCCACCTATCCTGAGATCTTTTGAAACGACTTTTCCATTACTTTCTTCATCAACTGCAAAATATAACCCCAAATCCTCAACATTCCCTAAAAAAAATTATTACTTATCAACAAATATATATAACCAGTTTCAACTATAATTCTGACTTAATAAAATACTAGATACCATCATATCTTTTTAAAAACAATAAATTCTTCAGTAAATCATCGTCCAAACCAATTAAATCTTCCAGAAAAACAGCTCTACCAGCCATTTTACTTAGGAAAAATCCAGCAAATTGTACATCGACTAAAATACCTTCCTGTATTGCTCTCGCGATCATCTTACCCAAAAATGAATATAATGTAATCTTTGTTGACGTATTCTGATGATTTGGATAAAGCATTGAACTATTAGGAGTTACAGCAAATAAACCACAAGATGGGTCAAATGCTATAATAAAATAGAATAAATAAAATAAATGAATTAGTCTGATACAGTTTAACCGAGAAAAAATTTTAAATCAAACCTTCAGCGATAAGCTGCGTTATGAATTCTTTAAATGGACCTCCTTGATCCACACCATCTTCCTCGGTACCTAAATTTCAACGTAAGAATTGTCATTAATCATTAAGTTATTTCTGTAACAAGGTAAAGATAAATTTTACCAGTTTCGTTTACAAATTTTACGCGAATTCTTCCTTTTGTTTTCACCGGATTTAATCCACCCAAATGTTTATAACCATCATCCAACACATGATCTCTCCTAACTCTAATCATAATTTCACTATTTAAAATAATTGGGACACCATTTTTCAAATAATCACGAAAAATTTCTAATCTCGTTTCAAATGGAATCGTATGCGGTAATAAATTAAGAATTTTAATCGATATAGGATCATTATCACGGATTCGATCCAAGAACGACATTCCCATAAGATCCTTGTCATTATTGTTACTTGACAAAGATTTTTTGAAAAGGTCTTTAAGCGATTTTGGTAAAGATTTCTTTGGATCTTTAATTAGTAGCCAAATACTTTCTTCAGAAAATGAACGACGCGTGTCTCTCGAATGTAATTGAAGTAAAACCCTACGTGCTGATTCAAATATTGTTGGTGGATAACCTTCAGGTGATGAATGACTTAATAATGCGAAGCAAAATCTGTTAAAGAACACAGCCATGGGAATTACATCTGTTTCAATTGAAAAAGGATTTTGCATATCATATAGTTCATCGTCGTCCGTCGTTCTAAAATTAATAGTCAGAAAATCTTTAGTTTTTTTTTTTTGATTATTTTATCATGAAACTTTTAAATTATACTCACAACAATAATATACTGCAACATTCACAAAATAATTCTAATATACTTATCAAAGGTTCCTTTTCTGGCGCTTTTACTACAGATCCATTCAAGAATATCTCCATATTCCCTTTTGGACCCAAACACATTAAAAACTTCCAAAGATTAGGAACGAGACTTGGAATATAAGTTAAATTCATTATGATATCATGTTTTTGATCGGTGAGAAGTTTTAATAGCAATACATATAAACGACAAACCGCTTGAGTTTCAATAGCATAAATTGTAACTTTTCCTGAAGTCAAACTAATTTTCTTATCGCTAAAACTATTTTTTCTTGGTGATAATTTTAACAGATTACTTTGATCTTTAACCGTAGGTTTAAAATTCAAAACATGATCAAACGCCTTGCTTATAAACAGTCTCTGCCATAAATATTCAAGCTGTGTAATGACTAAATTAAAATGTGAATTTGGAATATTTGAATCATGTTTTCCAGAATACCATTTAAATATAGGATGATATTGATAATGTGTATTTGATTTTATAGAAGAAACAAATTTATGACAATGTTGAAGTAAAGAAGTTATAATTTCGATAAAATCATGAATTTGTATTGAAGAAACTTGCTTTACTTTCGATGAAGTTTCACTTATCGATAAAGCGATTAAATCTGACTTTGACACAAGTTCAACGATATTTCCCATCAAAAATATTGCATCATTTCCGGTTAGCCCATTTAAAATTTGTAATAAAGAATCATTATCACGCATTGTTTCGATAATTTTTGTTGGAATATTCCATTTTCTTAACATATCTAAACAACTATCATCTAAAGAAGATAGGAGGCAAGGAGTTGACAATATATGAATGAAAAACATGATTAACTTGTTCTTTTCACTATAATGTTGAACAAGTTGTTCTGTAGATGATTGCAAATGTCCTCCCTCGAAATTTGAATCTAATAAAAATAGGCAACACTTTATACAAGCCAAGATCCATAAATTTGTTGAATTCAACTTTTTTTCATCTTCTGTTGAAAGTTTTACTTTTTTTGCACGAGATCTTAGAGTTAACATTGAATTCACTCTAAGTGACATTCCTGAACCTATTAATATGTAAAATCCTTTTTGTGAAAGAAAATTATGAAATATAATTAAATTTTGACTTAATAATGTGGTGATAGAATTCGTTAAATTAGAAGAATTTGGTACATTTCCTTTAACTACATAATTCACAGGATTAAGAAAATGAATCAAAAGTCTTATTTCAGTCCCGGAAAGATATAAAGAAATTGTCTGACTGTTTTTAGAATCCGCATGCCCAATTATCCTTTCGACACATTGCCAAAGAATTTTTTTCATCAAGTTCAAAGTACAATTTCCGTAACGCTCATTTATCAATAAAAAATGAAACGGGACAACTATTTGGTTAGCTTTATTGGAGGGATTTGTAGTGGATAAGATTAATTTACATAAATGTGAAAACCTGGCATTATCTAACGGTTCTTGTTTTGGGTTGAAAAAACCGAATAATAATTTGGCAAGTGAAAGAATTTCCGATGAATTTTTTTGTGACATAGTACTGGAATAATTATCATTTGATTTGTTGCAGTCAATCGAAAAACCTGAATCCACATCCCATGAATTGCGTAAATTAGATAAATTTTGCTTTTTATTTAGGTGTTTACGAAAAATTTTTTGTATAATAATTGCAGAATGTGATAACTTTTGCTCCTCCTTTTGTTTTATACGTTGTTTCTCTCGTTGTTCCCTTTCGGCTCTAGCTTTATCAACAAAAGCTCGTTTTTTTGCATTTTGTTCATTAAATGGAAACATTTTTTTTTGAAAGAATTATTTTTATATTTTAAAAAACAAATTTGTTTAAAGGGTGAAAGTTAATAATTTCATTGTCGATCCCCAATGTTTGGAGTACGACTGATTGAATTTATGCACATTATCTAAATGCATGCAGTGACTTACTTGTACTCTGTATAACCAACCCAAGGGGCAGATTTAATTGGCAACAATGAATGCGCCTCATTATATTTTATTTCTTTTCTCAACTTTAAGAATGACTGGTGAAAACAGTAAAGGTAAAGGGGTTTTGGAGCATGAATATGAGGGTAAGCAAATTAAAAAAAGGTTATTTGAAACAACGTATTACCTACAAATGATTTAAAACTTTTTCAAATTTTTCTTAAACAAATAAACAAGCTTCAACTTCAAAGTGCGCCAAAGGTAACCATTTAAAATATTGTCTATAATTTTTAGTAAGTTACTGAACCCATTCATTATATTCTGTTTACATGTCTCTTTTTTTCAATTTATCAATAAAAAAAGGTAAAAGTGAGGATGAAAGTAGGCATGATAGCCCAGCTTTAATTACGGATTTAAATGATTATTTATACAATACGTTAAGTCTATATTTGAATTATATTACTTATAAATTAAGTTTTAGTAAGTTATAATAAATTATAATATTATAAATTTAATTAAATTTTACTTAAATTAATATTATATTTTATATTTTAAATTAATCTGAATGTTTTATTAATAATTATTTATATATTATTAAAACTTTTATTTTTATTAATCTTAATATTAGTAAAAACTATATTGATAGCATGTAAATTACTTAATCATGTTATTTGTATATTTTAAATTTAACTGAATTTTTATTTTGATAATTATTTAATTAACATTAAACTTTTATTTAAATTAATATTAATTATAGTTGGTAAGATATAATTATATAATTAAAAATAACTGATTTATTATTTTTAATTCATATTTATATTTTTATAATTAATAATATTATTAATATAGGTGGTAAGTTATTTATTTATTATATAATTTATATTAAATTTAACTAAAATTTTTAATTTAATATTTTGTAGTTAGTAAATCATTTAATTTATTATTTGTATATAATTTATATAGTTTAAATTTAACTAATTTTCATCTTAATAATTATAATTATAAAATATAAATTATTTGATTTATTATATATTTTATTTTAATAATAATTATAAAATGTAAGTTATAAAATTTTATATATAATTTATATTATATTTAAATTTAATATATATAATATTAATTATTTATTAATTATAATTAATTTTTTAATTAAATTAATAAAATTTTATTTTAATAATTATAAATATAGAAGGTAATATTTTGAATTTATTATATATTAAATATTAATTATAATTTAAATTTTATTAAATTATTTATTTAAAATAATAATATAGTTAATAATAGTAAGTTATTTATTTTTTATTATATTAATTTAAATATAATAATTTAAAATTATTATTTAACATTTAATATTTTTATGTTTAATTAAAAATAGGTATTAATTGTAAGTTATTTAAATTTATTATTTTTATATTATTTATATCTTTTTAAAATATTTGATTTTTATATTTGTATATATTAAAATCTTTTTAAAAAACTTAATATTATTTTATATATTTAATGATTTTATAGACATATATGGTAAATTATTATATATTTTTGATATTTTAATTTAAATTAAATAAAAAATATATTTATGATTATTTTTATATATTTAAAATTTTATAGTTACATGTAAGTTATTATATATTTTATATTAATTTTGATTTAAATAATAAAATATTTTTATTTTATAATTATATATTAGTAAATATTTTAAAATATTTTTAAAATACTTTGATTATTTTTATATATTTAATAATATGATAGTCTTAAAATATAAGTTATTTAAATTATTATCTTATTATATATTTATATATTTTTTAATAAATATTTTTATAAAACTTGATTTTATACTTATATATTTAATAATATAATAGTTTCAAAATGTAAGTTATTTAAAATTATTATCTTATTATATATTTATATATTTTTTTTAATAAATATTTTTATAAAATTTGATTTTATATTTATATATTTAATAATATAATAGTCTCAAAATGTAAGTTATTTAAAATTATTATTTTATTATATATATTTATATATTTTTTTAATAAATATTTTTAAAAAACTTGATTTTTATTTATATATTTAATAACATGATAGTCTCAAAATGTAAGTTATTTAAAATTATTATCTTATTATAATATATTTATATATTTTTTTTAATAAATATATTTATAAAATTTAATTTTATATTTATATATATTTAATAATATTAGTTATATAAGGTAAGTTTACATATTTTTTTTTTAATTTGAATTAAATTTTATGGTAAATTATTTTTATTTTATATTAATAAATATTTTTAAAAAAAAAATTATGTAATTTTATATATTTATTAATATTATAGTTCTTAATAGTAAGTTATTTATTTTTTATATATTTATATTTTAATTAAATTAAATAACAAATAATAATAAAAAATTTTCTTTTTTATATTTATATTAATTTTAAAATAATTAAATTATATTAATTATAAAAATTTTTAATATTTTTAAAATCAAAAATAATTAATAATATTATATATATTATTAATAAATTATTTTTTTTTAATTATTTAAATATTTAAATTAATTTTTAATTTTTAATTATTTTTAATTAACTAAAGATAGAATTTGTAAGTTATTTTTATTATTAATTTTTTTTTTATTTATTTTAAATTTTTTATATTATATAAATTTTTTATTTTAGATAATTTGTAAGTTATTTAATTTTATTTATTTTACTATTATATTTAAAATTTCTTATTATTTACATATTTTTATATTTTAATTAATTAATTTAATTTTTTTTTTAAATAATATTATAGTAATTCCTACAAGTAAGTTATTAATTTTATTATATTATTATATTTAAAATTAAACTAAATTTTTATTTAAAAATTTTTAATTAATAAAAATATTATAATTAGTAAGTTATTTTTTATTTAGTTAATTATTTAAAAAAATAATTTAAATTAGCTAAACTTTATCTATTAAAAAATATATAGATTATATAAAATTATATTTTAATTATATTCTAATTAAAAAATTTAGTATTAATTATAATCAGTAAGATATTTATATTATTTATGATAAAAATTTAAAATATTAATGATTTATTTTTATTATTATAAAAATAGATCAAAAAGGTATTTTACAATATAAAATAGGTAAATATTATCAAAATAGACGGATATTTACAAAAGCAATTGAATGGTATAAAAAATCAGCAATAAATGGTTATATTAAAGCACAATATGATCTTGCAATATTATATAAAAAGGGTAAAGGAACAAAAATAAATTTAATAGAAGCATTTTATTGGTATCAAAAAGCAGCAAAATATGATAAAAATGCACAATATAATTTAGGCTTGTATTATCAAAATGGATGGGAAATTGAAAAAAATGAAGCTAAAGCATTTAAATGGTATGAAAAATCAGCTAAACAAGATAATAGTGAAGCACAAAATTATTTGGGAATATTTTATGAAAATGGTATAGGTATACAAAAAAATTTAAAAGAAGCTTTTTATTGGTATCAAAAATCAGCAGAAAATGAAAATAAGTTTGCGCAAATTAATCTAAACTTATATATACAAACTAACAAAGAAATTGAAGAAGTTAAAGTGAAAGCATTTGAATGGTATACAAAATCAGCACAGGAGAGAAAAAATTTTTTTTTCAAATCGGATAATAATAATGCACAAACTTATTTGGCATTTCTTTATGAAAATGGTATTGGAACACAAAAAGATTTGAAAAAATCATTTTATTGGTATCATAAAGCAGCAGAAAATGGTAATAAATATGCACAGTATAATTTAGGTTTGTATTATCAAAATGGATGGGAAATCGAAAAGAATGAAGCCGAAGCATTTAAATGGTATAATAAATCAGCTAAACAAGATAATAGTGATGCTCAAAATTGTCTAGGATTTTTTTATAAAAATGGTATAGGAACACAGAAAGATTTAAAACAATCTTTTTATTGGTATCTAAAGTCAGCAAAAAATGGCAATGAAATTGCACAATATAATTTGGGTAATTTTTATCGATATGGTTGGGGGATTGAAAAAAATGAAGAAGAAGCATTAGAATGGTATAAAGAATTAGCTGGACAACAAAACACGCTTTTTATTAGCAATGATGAATTATTAAGTATGGTTTAATATACTCTTAAAATAAATAATTTTTTTGTTTGATTAAATAATTAATTTTTTTTTAACAAACCGATAGGTGATTTAGCTGAAATACAGGCTAATACCGATGATAATTTCTTTAATTGTATCGAATTTAATAATCTTACTCTTAATATAAAAAATGATAATGATGCCTCAGAGTTTATTTCAGTAAGCGCGAATATTTGTCCTGGAATCTCTGACACTTCATATATTGAAATTAAAAAGTTGCAGAAATTACTCGTTAGCCGAAAAAATGATATTAATCATATACTGAAATCACAACCTGTATATGCTATAGGAATTGACTTCCAAAAAGACTCTACCGAACCATGCATTGCCTGTTGGGTTGCTAAGCCTCTTGACATTACAATTCTGGAATGCCTTGAAACTATGTTTGAAGACCAATTTGAAGTCATATACCAAATTGTAAATCCTGTAAATGAAAATGAAAACGATAATATCCAGAGTTCAAGTGAATCATCAAGTAGCCACGATCATAATAAAGAAGTTAAAGAAGAGAATGATAATAATGATGTTAATAATAATAATGGTAATAATAATAATAGTAATAATGATAATGATAATAATATCGCTAATAATGATAGTGATGATAATGGTAACGGTGGTAGTGGTAATTGTGATGGTGGTGATAGTCATGATGATAATGATGATGTTAATGGTAGTCGTGGTGATGATAATGGTGGGAATAGTAATGGTGGTGATGATGGTGATGGTAATGGTAATGAAGAAAGCAGTATCGATAATAAGATCCGTATCTCCTCCACTGCCGGTGTTCAAGTCGTAGATCAAAAAAATCCAAATGTCCGTCAGAATTTTAACATTTCTGCTAATCTCTGGGCAAATACTGCACCTTTTAAAAATGAAAATAGCCTACACTATCATCTTGAAATACTTGGTTGTGGAGTGGGAAATATTCTTAGTCATCGATGGAAAGCACTTAAAAAGCTAGGTTTTGGTTATGTTCTTCATTCGCTTAAACTTCATGTTTCTTCAGTACCTGATAATACATTCATGTTAAAAGAAGGTTCACAGCCTAAACAGCCAAATCGAGTTTTTGAAGTGTTAAAAGGTCACGAAACAAACATTAATGCACAAGCTGGAGGAGCAAGTTTTGGTGTAAAAAATATTCATAATACTAAGTCCTCATTAAATAAGTGGAACTTATTTTATGAAGGTCCTGTTGATGGAGATTGTTGGACATATATATATGCTGATAATGACCTTGACAAAGATATTAATTCAAGAAAAAGTTATACTCCTGATGAAACCCATTCTGGAAAGTGGATTATCTTTAAAGATATGCGTGAATTTCATGTTACTATTACACAAGTATTATGCTGTGAGTTTAATGGTTGGCGTCGTCGATTCTTTCCACTTCCACTTATAGGACCAGAGTTATTACGGTTCTACCCTAAGATAAATCATAGTCTTAAAGTGACTTTTAAAGATATTAAAAATTTTAACGAAAACTTTACAAGACTCTCAAATGAAATTCATCACAATAATAACAATATTATTGATATTGCTATTGGAAACAATAAAACGGAACTTACTGAAAATTCAAACATTCAGAATTCGGATATTATCGAACGTTCGTTACACAAAATTTAGGTTTAAATATAAACGATTTTGTTATAAAGATTTATTTATCCAATTTGTTCAACATTGATTATAGAGTATATGTAAACCTTCTTTTACATAAATAAATCAGTATGTAATTGAGCAAATAAACCTTTATTCGTCTAATATTCATTTATTACGTAGTAAAAAACTACTTGGTTCATTTCATCATTAAAATTTGAAATCAACGTAAATCTATCAAAATAACGAATAAAACATTATAATGCATTCGCCGACAATTGGGCTTAATATTTTCTTAAAGAAAATGTTAAATCCCAGATTTTGTAATACTAAATTAAATAATTTTTGTGTATTTGCTGAGCCTGTTTACTACCATTTTTTTTGCTTAGTTGACATAATAGAAAGTAAATATATGTTAATTCCCAATTTAAACGATTGAACAAAATATTTTGCTTCAAATATTTTCGCGTAATATTTTATTAATTATGATTAGTATCTTGAAGTGATCGAGCAATTGTCATTAGTTCATAATGAATTATCAATCATTCATATCAAATTATATGCGTACGTGACATTTATACAAGAAAAAAAAAATTCACGATATATTTTAAATTAATTATATATTGACTTAACCGGTCTATTTAAATTAAATTTTCCAAGATTTAACTGATGGGTTGATAATAATAAATAATAATTGAATCATGAAATTTTTGATGTTTTTGATTTTTAGTAACCTTTGTATGTAGGAATTGTTTCTTCGTTTCTTCGTTATATATTATATTGAAAATTATTTTTTGATTTAATCAGCACGACAAATGATTTTTACTGGTTTCTTTCATATCAAGTTGTGGATTCAAGAAAATATATTATTGGTATTGAAACACGATTATAAATTTGAATTATATTTTAATATAGAAAAGCGAATTAAATCTGATGAAGGTTACAGATTATAGGCAAGCTATTTTTCATTCTTCCGGTTTTGAAGAATTTTTTTTTTTTTATTTAATTGCCCTATTAGGGCTGGCGAATAATTTATTGTATTAGAGGTTTAATCGGATTCATTGATTTCGAA